ATGAGGACACGTGGAGCAAAACCTTTATGACATTGGATCTGGCAATGGCTTCTTGGATGCGACATGCAAAGCACAGGCAACAAAAGAAAACGGATGAATCAGCCTTAACATCAAGAGCTCTTGTGTGTCAAAGTACTCTGTCAAGACGGTGCAGGCGCCGGCACTGTGGCACAGCGAGTTACGCAGCTGCCTGCGATGCCAGCATCCATGTGGTGCCATTTGGAGCTCTATAAAGCCCCGCCTGCAACCCAGCATCAGGTCCCGGACAGAGCTTCAGGCTCCTGGCTTTGGCTGGGCCGGCCCTGGCTGTTGTGGCCATTTGGGGAGTGAACCAGCAGACAGAAGCTCACGCTCACTCTCTCTCACTCATTAAGATTTATTTACTTGAAAGGCAGAGTTGGAGAAAGAATCTCCCATCTGCTGGCTCACTTCCCAAATGGCCGTGGCGGGGCCGGTCCAAAGCCAGGAGCTGGGAGCTTCTTCTGGGTCTCCCAGGTGAGTAAGGGGCCCAAGACTTGGGTCATCTTCCACTGCCTTCCCAGGCACATTAGCAGGGACCTGGATTGGAAGTGGAGCAGTGGGGACTTAAACCGGTGTCCACAGGAGATGCCTGTGCCGCAGGCGGCAGCTTAGCAGCTTAACCTGCTATGCCATAGCACCTGCCCCTAGGACGGCCATTTTTAAGAACACCACACTAGGGCAGGTGTTGGGGCACAGTGGGTTAAACCACTGCTGCTTGGGGTGCCCACATCCCATACCGGAGTGCTGGTTTGAGCCCCACCCAGCACCTCTGCTTCTGAGCCAGCTTCCTGCTAACGCATCCCCGGAGACAGCAGGGGATGGCTCGAGTGCTTGGGCCTCTGACACCCACGTGGGAGACCCAGATGGAGTTCCCAGCCCGGCTGTTGCTAGCATTTAGGGAGCAAACCAGTAGATGAGGGATCTCTGTTTTTGTTTACTTGAGAAGCAGAATAACAAGCACAAAAGCCTAAACCCGAAATTAGAGAATGGCAAGTATCGGTGAGGATGCGTATAAAGTGGAAGTCTCGCGCACTGCTGGCGGGAATGCATGGTGACGTGGAAGACAGTGACACAGGTCCTGCACCGTCACACAGAAGCATCGCGTGTCTCGGCAGTTCCGCTTCTGCGTGTCTATCGGAAAGGATTGGAAGCAGGGGCGCAGATGCTGACAAGTCCGTGTGTGCAGCAGCAGGATTGCTGATCGCCCACGGCGCAGACCGTCTGCACGGTCGTCAGCAGATGAACGGACCGACACGAGCCGTATGTGCGTGGAACAGCGCATGATGCCGCGTCAAAAGCAAACTCTGGCGCAGGCTACCGCACGGAGGGACCTTGCAAATATGCTGGCCAGTCCGAGCCAGGCAGGAGGACATTCTATCTACATGAGCCAGCTCTACGAGGCAAATCCGCAGCCACGCAAAGTAGAACAGGGCGACAGGGGGCAGGGGAAAGGGAACGCGGAGTCACTGGAAGGGCACAGAGCTGGTCGGCCGATTAAAGTCTGGGAGTGCACAGCCCCGCGGGGACGGCTCCACTGCCTGGCCAGGCTCCTAGAGAGGTGCAAGTGGGCGCAGTGCTTGGCCTAGCAGTGAGGATTCCGGCTGGGAAGCCTGCACCTGCACCTCCCTGTGCACATGCTGGGAGGCGGCAGGTGGTGGCTCCGGTTGTTGTGCCCCCATCACCCCCGAGAGGCCGCGACAGAGTTCTCTGCTCGCAGGCTCAGCCCATCCCAGCCGTTGTAGGTATCTGGGGAGCGAACCCATGGATTGGGGGGGGTTTCCATCTGCTGTTTCGCTCCCCAGATGCCCCCAACAGCCTAGGCTGGGCCAAGCCAAGGTCAAGACCAGGAACTCCATCCAGGTCTCCCAGGTGAATGGCAGGAATCCCAGGATCTGCATCAGCAGGGGTTGAACCTAGGTCCTGACGTGGGGCGCAGGTCTCCCAACAGGCGTGCTGAGCACTGGGCGAGCTGCCCTCTGTCTTTGCTTTCACCTGGCTCCCGCCCAGGGCTGCGGGGTACCAGTCTCTCCCTGGGCTGGCTGCTACTTCCTCCTCTCTCTCGCTCAGGGACTTCCTAACCAAGTACGTGGGATCCTGCATGCCCTGCTGGTAGCCACAGTTCCGCCGTGTGATGTCACCCCTGCCCTCTGACCCAGGGAGGGAGTGGCAACTCCAGTGAGTCATTTCTTTCCCGAGAGGCAAGGGAAGAGACGCAGGAACGAGCCCAAGGGGGAGGCCATCCGCACTCAGAGCCGTGGCCGCCATTCCGCATCCTCCCCCGACGCTGCGGTCTCCCAATGCTTGTCCACACCGCTAAAATCGGATTCAACCTCAACAAGGAAACCTGCCTTGGTGACAACACGGACGGCCCCAGAGGATGGGATGCAGAGTGAAAAAGGCAGCCACGGCCGGGCGAGCCCCAGCACTGCCCAATGCTGCTTACACGCTGCACAACTGCCAGACCCACGGGAGTGCGGAGGCCTACCAGTGGTTGCCAGGGGCTGGCCATCATGGGGTCGTCCAATGGGGGCAAAGCTCCCTCAGGCCAGCCCATCAACCCTGGAGAGGGCTACACCACGCGGGGTCTGTGGCTCACCAGCCCAAGCGTGCACAACTCACGCTGTGTTCCTACCACAATCCACTCCCCACCCCACCCCCCAATAAAAAAAAAAAAAGACCAAAGGGACGCAGGGGGCCCCGGCAGTGGGGGCCCGTCCATCCCCTCAGTGGCAGGGGAGGGGGGCATGGTGGGTGCAGGGGTGTCCCAGCTCCTGGAGCTGTGCGTGGCTCATGCCCATCCTTGTGCGCCAACTAGCACCTGGGCGAAGCAGGAGTGCATGGGCAGAGTGGGTGTGGAAGGCGCAGGGCAGCGAGCAGGAGTCCGAGCTGTCTGGTCTCGCAGTCCCAAGCTGCCCATCAGGAAGTAAACTCGGGTGGGGAAGCCACCCAAGTGCCCCCAGCGCCACATCACCTCCAGGTCCTGCCCCGCGGGCCCCTGAGGCAGAGGTGACCACTGACTCTCAGTCCAGACGGACAGCAGGGCCCAGGGGGTGAGCCCCGGGCGGTCCTTCCCGGCACAGCAGAGTGACAGTCCTGGGACCTGGGCACTTCCCACCAGGCCTGACCACTACCCGCTTCTGCCAACAGTGCAGCCCAGAAGTGAGGCGCCACGAGGCTTAGACAGCAGAACCCTTAACATCCTCGGGTGAGCCTTGTGCCTGTTTCCCCATCTGTCGAACGGGGACTGGACCAGTACCTCACGGCTGGGAGGATTAAATGAGGTCATACCCACGGGACACCCAGAGCAGTCCGCCTCAGTGCGGGGTTGTTGCCCCCAAGAGTGCGATTCCGGCACCTTCTCTCTGGTCCTGGCAGAGTCCCTGCAGTACTTGGGGGCTCTCCTTCCTGCACACACGGTGCAGAGCTGGGAATGGAAGCGACACCCTCCTGTGGGACAGGGCTATCCTAACTCCTAGGCCACACAGCCACCCCTTCCCGGAGCTTGCCTTTAACAGCCACCCCTGGATGTCGAGCCCTGTTTCTTTTTTTGGGGGGGGTGTTACTGCAGTCAGACAGACAACGGTGGCCCCCACTCTCCTAACAGCTAGCAGAGAACACACACACACACACACACTGACGACACACGGTGCAGACCGAGGGGTGCCGTGGTATTGGAGCCCCAGGCCGGGCTCTCGGTCACAAATGACAAACACCCCACCGCTGGGAGTGGAAGGCCCGGAAGGCCCCCCGGGGCCTGGACCCCAGGCCTCCAAACAGGGCCTGGTCCCCGCCCCAGACACTGCCCAGCGGCACTGCCACCAGGAATAAAGTCATGACTGAACCCGAGCTAACAAGAACCAGATGGTCCGCGGCTAAAGCTGATGACACGAGGCCACGAGGCCACCCTGCCTGGCCACGGCCTGCCCTGCGCACACGTGGCCATAGCACCCTCCCCGCCCCCTCTCCGACGTGGGGTACCCAAGCCCCGTGTTAGGACGTCCAACCTGCACCCGACTGAGAACACAGCACAGCACCCCGCACCCCTGCCCGCTTTTGAGGCCCCTCCTCTGCCTCCCCAAAGACGAACGAGGACAGCCAGACGCCCGGGAGCCGGCGGCCGTCAAGGGATGGCCTCGCCCCAACCGCGCCCCCTTGTGTTGTCCACTCAAGCCGCGGCGGGTCGCTTCCCCGCGCCCCACCGGCCTCCCAGCTGCCCCCAAGCCACTGCCCGGGCCCCTTGCTGCGCTGGCCGAGCCGCCCGCCCCCCAAACTCCCCACCTCCTCAGCTCACAGCCGCCCCGACCTCCCGCCCACCTGCAGGGGTCACGTCGGGAACGGAACGCCCAAAGGCACTCACTCACTCACTTTAAGGAGAAACGCGTAGACGCGGCTCACGGTGCTGCAGGGCCGGCCAGGCGGCGGTGCGGTGGGCGCCGAGAGACCCCAGGGCCGGCTGCCTGGCCCTCTCGCGTTTATAACCAACTTTTCTGCCGCCCACGCCCCCCGGAGCACAAGGCCCTCCCACGAGGCCCACCTGGTGTTGAGAATTCGCACCAGGACTATGGGAACCAAGCTCGTGATACATGGGGGGCCTTGGAGGAGAGTCGACCTGCCGGCCACGGCCCCCTAGTTCCTTTAGGCCGCGTCCTTGGTCGTCATGTAGCATCATTATTGCGTTGGCTATTGACGCTGTCGCTGATTCTACCCCGCGTGCCTGGCATTAGTCCTAACGCCGCACAGCCGTTGGGCTGCACGAGCGGCACGGGGCATACCGGCCCAGGTGAGGCCCGATTTGAATTTCGGGCTTGCAGCGGGCCGGCCGCGTGGCTCTGCGCGAGGAGTCTCATTGCCCTCTTGGGGCCCCGTTTCCCCATCTGGAACTTGGCGGTCTCCGTCAAGCGGGGGTCTCGGTGACAATGCGCTTCCCACTCCCACCGCTCCACATCCATGAGAAGGAGGCTCCCAAGCCAACATCGCCGTACGACGTGTCCGTTTACTTTGGGTTATATGTCATTATAAACATTAACAAAGAAGACTTAAAAAGGACACCCTGGGGAAAGGAGGACGAAAGTATAAAAGTTGTGTCGTGGGGCCGCCGCGTGTTTCTGCGGCCGTCACACGGTGGCAAGACGGTGTGAAGCAGTGCACGCGAGTCCATGCAGCAGGAGGTTCGTCGTGTCGCGGAGGAATAAAGGGCAGGGCATGCACGGCCCGGGGAGGTGCAGCTCCTCGCTCTCGCCACTAGAGGTCAGGAGGTTACCGCTTCAGGGCTGGAAGACGGGCCCGTCGGGGATTGGCTAGTGGCGGCGGTGGGCGGGGCGGAACCCAGGGCCGGAGGGGGCTGCAGCGCTCCGGCGACCCCCCTCCCCCGCCGCGTTACTGACAACAGACTTTGGAATGACTTTTTTTTTTTTTTTTTTTGCATCAGACTTCCCGTCTTTGTGGGGCTGACGGGCCAGGGGGAGGAAAGATGCCTGTTTGGGGTCAAAGCAGAGCCAGTTGTTTTCAGGCTCCCTCGAGGAGGGGGGGGGGGGCTCCTGCCTGAGCGCCCCACAGGGCACCTGCAGACACGCGCGCATGTGTACAGCTTTGGGGAGGCCGCGGGCCCTGGACTGGGTGCCCAGAGTCCTGCTCCAGCCGGGCCCCTTACCACGACCCCCTCTCCCCTTGGGCCCCCAGAAGCCCCCTGTTCTAGCTGTGTGGACAAAGGAGCTGCCGCCTTGCCCCCCGGGCCACAGGGTCAAAGGCTGGGTAAGGGCAGAGTTCAAGGCCTGGCCAGGGGGCTGGTTTCTGAGCCAGCAAAGGGACAAGGTTCCTTGTCTCAACACACCACAGAGCTCCCCGACAGACAGGGGCCCGGGTCCTCTGCCCCTGGGATGACAAGCCCCGCTGTGTGAAGGGTCCCTGGGTCAGAGCACGCGGCCCCCTTAACCCAGGGCAAAGGCTCCGGAAGACGGGGCCCCAAGGCTCCTCCTGGGGTCCCTGTGAGCCCAGAAGGGGCTGATGGGCACTTGCGGGATTTGAGCCACCACCCCGGCCACGCTCGGTGATGTGCTTGGTGTCTGCAGCAGATTCCGGCCCTCACACCATTGGGCCCTGGGGTGGGTGGGCAGCAGGTGGGCAGCTAGTGGGACCCCCGTGTGAGCCCAGCACCCCACTTCCCCAACCGCCGTGACGGGCGCCGCTGCGGATCCCGGCCTTGGGCAGGTCACCTTCCTCCGTGGGCCTCTGTTCCCGCCGCCCAGCTGTGGGCTCACTGTGACGGGGCAGCGGCCTTGACACCCCTCCATCCTGCATCTGTCCTTCCAGTGTGGGGGGCCCTGGGCAGCCGGGTTGGGGGTTTCCGGCCCAGCCCACCCCCTGAGCTGGGGCTCCCTCTCCAGTATTCCCAGGCTTCAGGAGGGCCAGCAGGCCATGGGCAGACACTGGGGGGCTCGATCCCCAGCCTGAGCCAGACGTAGAGGTCAAAGGGCAGAGGGGGAAGCCACAGAACCACGAGCCTCCTCCGCACGCCTGAGGACACCCTTCTGTCTTAGCCGCCCCAGCCTCCCGCCCCAAGGAGCCAGCAGGAGCGCGGGGCGTGGGCTGACCTGCCCCTGCCCCTGTCCGCAGCCCTAACACATCTGCCCCCAAGCAGGACCCTGGGGCTCCCGGCTCCATCACCTTCCCCCAAGGGCCCCCGCCCGCCCCGCCCTTTCCCCCATTAGAACTTCCCCCTCCAGGAAGCCTTCCCTCCCCTCTGTCAGGTGGCACTGCTCATCCCTGCTGCAGTGGTCTGCAGGGGCTCCCTGAGGGCAGGCCGTGGGGGTGGCGGATGTGAAGCGCTGTCAGCCGGCCCGTGTTCCCTGCCGTGTCCTGGCCCCCAGCCCGCAGGCCCCTCTCCACCAGCCCAGCAACGCCAGAGAGAGGCGCATGCCTTCCAGCCCGTTTGCCTACCCCCGGGAGTCGGCGTCCTTGGCAGTACCGTCTCCCGCCCGCCCGGCCTGCCCTCCCAGTGCGCCCCGCTCCGTCCTCTCAGCGTGTGCCTTGCTGCTGACCTCTGCATGGTTCCGTGCCCGCTGGCCGGCCCCGTCCCCTCCCCCGAGCAGGTGCTGGGGCTGAGGCCGGCTCTACCCTGCCTGGCCCTCTGTGGCCTCCAAGGGGCTCTGGGTCCGAGCAGGTGTCCTGGATCTCCCCCCGCGTGGGGGCTGCAGCCCTTGGTGGCAGCCGAGGAAGCCCAGGGCGCAGCGGGCGCGGGGCCGGGGCGGTCAGTCGCTGAGCACGGCCCCTGGGAGCTGGCTGGTGAGCGTGTGCCAGCGCTCGATGCGCTTGTCTTTGTTCTTCAGGCAGTCGAACCAGTGCTTCAGCCGCTCGCCCTTGGCATTGATGCCGAGAACCACGCCACCTGCAGGGGGCGGCAAGGGCAGCCAGCGGCACAGGCACGGCGGCAGGTACTTCCCTGCCGCTGGGCTCTGAGCGTGGGCAGCGTGTGCCCTCCCTCCACCACTGTCCCCACCGGCCAGGGCGCAGGGGGCTCGGGCCGGCCCCAAGTGCTGACCGCCAGGGTGGCTGCGTGGCCCCCCGGTGCTCCTTCCCTCTCTGGGTCTGTCTGCCCCTTTGAGGGCCCTCGTGCTGCCCAGGGCAGCTGGTTCCTGACCCTGACTCTCCCCAGAGGCCAGGGAGGAGGGTCCATGGCCGGTTTAGGGCTTCAGGCCTCAGCTGAGCCCAGGGCAGGCAAATGGCCACCCAGCGTGCCCGTCATGCCTCCTTACCAATGAAGTCGTTGGACTTTCCGATGTCATAATCCCAGACGGTGACCTCCAAAGTCTTCTTGGCCAGGTCCCCGTGCTTAATCTCGTAACAGAACTCCTGCTGACCAGAGGGCGGGTGATGGGGGATGGGGTGGGTGGGGCGTGTGCCGGGCGGTGGGCGGGTCCTCACCCATGCCTCCCACTTGCACATGAGGGCCCCGGGGGTCCCCGCACCCTCCTCCACCTGCTCCTTCTCTATGTTCCCGCATTCGCTGCCCACTTGGCCGTCCCCGACCACTCTCGGGCCTGGCTGGGCTGACCGCCTCCTCCTCTGGGACCCTCTCCCTGGCTTCGGGGCCCTCCACTCCGGGAGCATCCTCCAGCCACCTCTGCCTGGCCTGGAGCGGCCGGGGTGGCTCTGGCTCGGCCGAGGCCCTCTGGTGCCCTCCCCACCTGCTCCAGGGAGACGGGGATGCACCCACGTGTGCACCTCCCGCTGTACCACCCCCAGGCTGAGGACCTTCCAGGAACAGGGGCATCTAGATCCCTCCACTGAGCACCCCTCTTTCTCACATCTGCTCCTCCCCAACCCTGCGACCTCAGCAAGGAGCCCGATCGCCTCCACACTTGCCTTTCCTGCCCTACACCCACATGGCCACACCCTACCCGTGGCCCCCAGCCCCCCATCTGGCTCCCACAGTGGCCTGGGTGGTGCTCTGCGCCCTTGCACCTCATTGAACTCCGGGTTCAGGGTCTTCTTCTTGACGGCCGTCTTGTGTTTGGATCTCTTGTCCACATCTGGCTTCAGGTATCTGGAACCATGAGGGAGGCCAGGCAGAGGGTCGGGGGGAGTCCTGGGAGCGGACAGGCCGGGCAGGGCTGCGCAGAGCAGTCCGCCCTTGGGGAAGCGTGCCCGGGCTCCTCCTGTCCCAGCACTGCAGTGGCCGGGGTAGGGGCCAGCCGGACTTCTGCTCCTGTGCCCGCTCCCCACAGCCCCTAGGAGGCAGGGTCTCTCTCGTTTCTGGGTGTCTAATTCTTATAAGGTTCACGAGTCCCACCAGAAGAACGTTTTTAGCAGAGTTGGGCCCTGGCTCAAACCTCCTTCAAAAACAGATTTGGGGCCAATGCTCTGCCTCAGTGCTGGCATTCCATATGGGCACTGGTTCTAGTCCCGGCTGCTCCACTTCCGATCCAGCTCCCCACTAATGTGCCTGGGAAAGCAGTGGAAGATGGCCCAAGTCCTGGGACCCCTGCACCCAAGTGGGAGACCCAGAAGAAGCTTCTGGCTCCTGGCTTTGGCCTGGCCCAGCCCCAGCTGTTGTGGCCATTGTGAATCAACAGATGGTTCTCTCTCATTCTGCCTTCCAAGTGAATAAACAAATCTTAGAAAAGAAACACAGGTGTTGGGGGCCAGCACTGTGGTGTAGCGGGTAAGGACGCCGCCTGCAGTGCCAGCATCCCATATGGGCGCCAGTTCGAGTCCCAGCTGCTCCACTTCTGATCCAGCTCTCTGCTGTGGCCTGGGAAGGTGGCCCAAGTCCTTGGGCCCCTGCACCTGCATGGGAGACCCGGAAGAAACTCCTGGCTCCTGGCTTCGGATCAGTGCAGCTGCGACTATGGCAGCCAACTGGGGAGTGAACCAGCAGATGGAAGACCTCTCTCTCTCTCTTTCCCTCTCTCTCTGTGTAACTCTGACTTTCAAATAAATAAAAAATTAAAAAAAAAAAAAAAAAGAAACACAGGTGGCTGGGGGGTGCTTGGCTTGGTGGTTAGGACACCATGCCGCATATCTGAGTGCCCGGGTTTGATTCCCAGCTTGGCTCCCGGCTCTAGATCCCTGCTCCCACAGAGCCTGGGAGCAGCAAGTGATGGCTCAAGTGGTTGGGTCCTGCCACTGTCATGGGAGACCTGATGAAGTTCCTGGCTCCCAGCTTCAGCCTCCGCCCAGTCCCGAGCATCAGAAACAGCAGATGGAAGCTCTCTCTCTGCTTTCCATGTAAGTAAGTAACTGTAAGGCACACTCGGCTCTCTGCGTCCTCAGCGGAGTGGGTCCAGGGCACCCCTCCGCCATGGGCACCCAAGTCGAGGCTGTTCCACTCCCTCCCGTGACCAGCACGGGCTTTGCAGAACGCCTGTGGGATGCTCCTCCCTGTGCTCACCAGCATGCCGGGATCGGTGATGGTGAGTGCCGTGCCAGTCGTTGCTAAGCCACACTCGATTGGAATACTGACAAGAAAAGCCATCTGTTGGCCGGCGCCGCGGCTCACTAGGCTAATCCTCCACCTAGCGGCGCCGGCACACCAGGTTCTAGTCCCGGTTGGGGCGCCGGATTCTGTCCCGGTTGCCCCTCTTCCAGGCCAGCTCTCTGCTGTGGCCCGGGAGGGCAGTGGAGGATGGCCCAAGTCCTTGGGTCCTGCACCCCATGGGAGACCAGGAGAAGTACCTGGCTCCTGGCTTTGGATCGGCGCAGCATGTTGGCCGCAATGTGCTGGCCGTGACGGCCACTTTGGGGGTGAACCAACGGAAAAAGGAAGACCTTTTTCTCTGTCTCTCTCTCTCACTCTCTCACTGTCCACTCTGCCTGTCAAAAAATAAATAAAAATTTAAAAAAGCCGTCTGTATGCCATCAGTCCAGATGTAAGTCTTGAGTATCTGATACATTTTTTTAAAAATTTATTTTCATTTACTCGAGAGGCAAGAAACAGAGACCCCCATCTGTTAAGTCACCCCTCAAACACCCAGGCCCACGGTGGGAGCTGGGAACTCCACTGGGTCTGCGTCACCTGCTGCCTCCCAGGTGTGCACGAGGAGCAGGAAGCTGGATCGGGGGTGGAGCCAGGACCCTGAGCCCAGCACTCACCATGGGAGTGACCTCAGCTGCGAGGGGAAACACCGGCCCTCCTCAGGGTTTGCGAGCTGCGATTGGGTGAATCTGCAGCTCAGCCCACAGTCTGCACAAACAGCAGCACCATGCACAGTGCTGGCGGGCTCTGCAAGTCTGGGAGCTGTCGGCGTGTCCTTTGTAAGCGCAGGGCACGCCATCACACGTGTGTGCCACGTCTTGTTAGCCTGTTCCTCTGCTGACGGCCGGCGGCTGTTTCCAGTTTGCTGCTGCTGTGAGAAGCAGCTTCCCACCCGAGCCTGGGGGCCTGAGGCGCACACGGGACAACCAGCACACGTGGGGCGTGCACCCCCCACCTGACGGCATGCACAGCGCCTCCTGGGTGAGTCCAGACAGCTGCTGCGGCCCCTCTCTCCAGCGCTGCACACAGCAGATCGCACAGTCTTGCTGTTGTTGAGGCTGGGCCCTGTTCACTGCTGATCACATGGAAACCGGCAGCGCCAGCACCATTGTCGGGCAGCCTCCCCTGGCGCCTGCTGTCATCAGACTTTTAAAGCTAGCAGCCTTTCTTTCTTTGGAAGGCGGAGTGATAGAGAGGCAGAGACGGAGAGATCTTCCAGCTGCTGGTTCACTCCCCAGATGGCTGCAATGGCCAGGGCTGGGCCAGGAGCTCCACCTGGATGTCCCAGGTGGGCCAAGCACTCGGGTCATCTCCTGCTGCTTTCCCAGGTGCATTAGCAAGGAGCCAGAGGGGAAGCGGAGCAGCGGAGACTTGAACTAGCGCTCTGACGTCGGATGCCAGCATCCCAAGTGGAGACTTAACCCAGTGGGCCACAACGCCGGCCCCTCTAACAGCTCTAGGGGATGCGATTCACAGGGTGTGCGGCACATCACAGGGGACCCCAGAACACGTTCACTGACCAGAGCAGAATCCCATCCCCCTGGGCAGGCGCTTGCCTGCTGCCCCCGCCTGCCCCAGCCCTTGGCAACCCCTCATCTACTTCCCGCCTCCCCGGATCTTCCTGTTCTGGACACACACAGGATGCGCGTCTGCCATCTTCCATCTGGTGCCACGTCTCCAGGGCCCGTCTTTATCAGAGCAGGTATTAGAACGCCATTCCTTTTGACGGCTGTATAGTATTCCAGCGCACACGACACCCACTCAGCAGTGGCCAGGCCCTTGTGCGTTGCTTCCACCCGGGGGGCAGTGGGAAGTACCCCCCTGAGTGTGCACTCGCTTCCTAAGTGACTGCCGACTGTTTCCCAAAGCGTCTGGGCTCCTCTGCATAGACTTTTACAAGTGACAGGAGCGTGACAGCGGCCGGGGGGCAGAGCCCAAGTAGCGCTCCCTGCAACAGATGACCCTGTGGCCTCAGTCTCCCGGGCTTCCACAACACTCTCTCCTGCTTCTGAGTCCTGACCCCTCTATCCCCGCCCCTCTCCCACCTCCTTCTCTTGAGCCAAATCCCGCTCTCCTCAGTCTGGCCCTTCCACAGGGTCCCTGGGAACCCACCCGTGTCCACCCACCTCTGGCACCTGTCACCCTCTCAAATGCCACCTGTCCCCCCCAAACAACAGCTCAGGGCACAGCCCAGCCCCCAGTGGTGTCACCCCCGTGCCACCGTCAGTCCCCACTGGAGGGTGGGGGGCTCTGATGTGCCCCTGTGGTCCAACACAGGGCCTGCATGCGTGAGCAGCTGCGGGGTCCCCGTGGAGTTCCTTCGCGGCACTCTCCCTGGCCCCTCTCCCCTGGCCCCTCTCCCACCTGCGCACGGCCCTCTGGGGTGCTGGGGTTGCGGGAAGGCCTGGCCACGGTGCCAGGAGATAACTACTCCCTGCCTGCATGCTCTGCAAAGGCATCCACCTTCTGTAAGCCTTCATGTCCTCACCTGTGCAATGGGCTTGCCACCCTCGCCCCGGTGTTGTCAAAGGAGCACCTAAGAGAGGGCACCGAGGTGGACACCACGCCCACTACCTGCCAGGGTCCCGGATGCGGCGGGCTGGGGCCGTACACTCACATTTTCACATAGGGGTCTGAGTAGCCGTTGGCGTCCATGGCGGCCAGGTGTGCGCAGCGCACGATGCCCACGAGCAGGCCCTGCTTCTGCGAGCTGTACTTGAGGGAGATGAGGATGCGGCCGCGCTCCTCCAGGGACTTGTCTTCCGTCTTGTCCACCTGTCGGGTGGGGCAGGCGCTGGGCTGTCCTCCCCTGCTCCTCCCTGGCCTCGCTGCCCACTGTGTGGAAGCCCCTGCCCGGCCCTGACCCCCGCTCCTCCGCCCCAGGGGCCTCAGACCGCCCTGCACAGCTGCCCCGCTGGGAAATTTCGGCCCGACTGGACGCACGGACGTGGGCTGGGAGTGGACTTCACCCTCGTGAGTGGCGGACCTGACAGCACGCGGCAGTGAGACGGAACTCCAGCCTCAAGTCTGGATGAGCTCTGCTGGCTGCCTTGGGCGCCTGCATCTCAGCTGCGCTGCCTCCGACGGCAGAGACGGCGCTGCGACAGCTGCTACTCAGCCACGAGCCTCGAACGGCTACTCGCTGACCCCTTTCAGAACCCTGCTGTGGTGCCTCTCGGCGTCTGCCCGGCCCTCCCGGCAGTCCACACGTGCTCTGCATGGTTCTGTGCGCCATCAGCCCCTGATCCCTCCAGGGCTGGGCTCAGCTGGAGGGACCGGCCTGGCCTTCCTCCCGCCATCGCACAGCGGTGTGGTGGCTGCCTGCTTCCCCACACGTCTGTCCTGGACCAAACCAGGAAGGGTTCGGTGAAGCCACCAGGGACTCACTTCAGTGCCAGGCAGAGCAAGCCGTGGGCAGAGGGGCGCTGCGGGGAGCGCACGCGACAGCCGGCTCTGTAATTCCCACACTGTGGGTGGGTGAAGGCCTAGCCCAGGGGAGGCTTCCAAGGGAGCCCAGAGCAAGGGGGGGGGGGGCAGGGTCAACTCCGGGTTCAACCTCATGCCAGCAGCTCCAGCCTGCACAGTTCAGAGGCGGGCCTGTCTGCCCAGCCACCTGGGACAGTGAGCATGCACCCTGGCCCCAGCCCCTGGACGGTGCTTCCCGGAGCCCCAGCAGAGTGCCAGGCTTGGCCCCTTGGGGAGAAGCCCGAAGCCAGAGCTGTGACTCCCTCCCTCCCACACCTCAGCGGCTGCCCAGTGCCCGCCCCAGGGTGAGGGCTCTGCCTCCCACCTCCTCAGGCACCGCCCACCCAGGCCCCTCCGCTCTGCCCACCACTGCGCCCCACCTGGCACACGAGCAGGGGCCACCGCCCCCACAGCCCTGGAGCCAGAAGGCAGCCTCGTAACCTGACACAGCGACAGGCGGCCGTCACCGTGGGAACTGCACGCTTGTGCCAGTGACACTAAATGGCAAACGGGGTACTTTGGAATTTCGCGAAGATTGAGTTCCAAGAAAGGCACATGCGACGTGGTGCAAAAAACACCTAAGTCCACACGTGGCTTTCCTCAAGGCTCGTCATGGGGGGAGGGGTGCTCTCAGCAGGTGTTCCGGGGCTGGGCTGGGATTCTCTGGGGTTGTTTCATATAAAAACCATCACGTGTGCCCTTGCACATAACTCACACACGTGTGCACTCACATCCACGCTGCACACTCTGTGGATGTTTACCCCAGCGATCCAAACCCAGAAACACAACTCTACCAGGAGCCGATGCTGCCTTTCGCGGGTGACACAGATCACTGGGAAAAACCGGGCTACCTGTGGCTGGTGACTAATGAGACGGGAAAGGTTGCACCCATCACACAGTGTCTGTGCGTGGGAGAGACGTGACAGGCGAATAAAAGGTGAGCAAGTTACGCAGGATGACAGAGGCGGATGCTGGGGGCAGCGCAGGCCGCAGGCTGACTGGTTCCCAGGGCTGCACCTGCGATCCAGGGACTGAGGGCTCCAGGCTCCCTGGGGCTGGCCACACACACTCAGGTGGTGGCAGGTGTGTCCTAGTGACCTGCTCAGGCCCCAGGGGGAATGTGCCACTGCCCACTCCTGAACCAGGGGCAGCAAGGAGTGGAGAGCAGAGAGGGAGGGAGGGAGGGAGGGAGGGAGAGAGAGAGGCCGGGCCAAACAGACTAACATTTGGACAGCTAACTCTGTCCTCAGGCAGGGGCGGTTTCTGGGAAAGAACTATTTCCTGTCTCCCGGGGTGGCTCCCAGGCCCCGCTCGCCTCACTCGCTCCAGCTGTACGTCCGTGCATCTGACCCTGGCCGCCTCGGTCCGCAGCTGCCTCAGCCTTCCCCAAACCTGGGCACTGCCCTTCCCCCCAGGGGAGCTGCCCTGCGGGCACATCCCATCCCATCTGGCTCCTGTCTCTGCAGCCCGGGCCTGAGCCACGCTTGCTCGATCGCTCGCTCGCTTGCTCGGCTGCTTGCTGCCTTCCCGGCCTCTCCCCTGCAGCTGTCATTTGCGTCAATTCCGCTTCTGTGTGTCGCCCCACTGTCACCTGGGGGAGACGTCGGGGCCCTCCCAGCCTCCCCTTCACCTCTCTGAGCTCACCGCCCCCCACCCCGCTCCCTCTGCTCCATTCTGAGGCCCGGAGCAGGCAGCTGGTTCCGTCTGTCTCCCCCGCACCTGCAACCTGCCAGGTGCGCAGCAGGTGCGCCCTGGGCGGCGCCCGCTCACCGGCAGCTGCTTCTCCAGGCAGATGCTGAACGTCTTGGTGTGGTTGGGCTTCAGCTTCTTCAGGGGCACGCGCGTCTCCCCGATGAACTCATTGTGGCGGAATTTGTCCTCGTCACACACGGAGATCCTGGGGGGCAAGGGGCACGGCCGGGGCCTCAGAAGCACTGGGCGCCCCCAGTCTGCTTCCAGGGATCTGTGGGTGTGGCCGGGGGCCGGGGAGGGGGGGAGGGAGTGGGCGGCTGGGGCCCCACCCACCGCAGGGTCTTCCGGATCATGTCCTCGTCTGTGATCCCGTAGTAAGTGAGGGTCTCGTTCCACGTGGGGTTCAGCGTGTTGCGCAGGGTCTTGGTTCTGAGCTTATTGGCCTGCAAAGAGGAAGCGGGTTCTGAGCCGGGACCAGCGCAGGAGCCCGGTGGGGATGATACGCCGGCCCCAGGGCGGCCATGTCCAGTGCCTGGAGCCTGTGGATGCGTGGCCTGACACCTGGGTGTGGGGGGAATGGGCGTGCACGTGGAACGGAGGGCGCTGATTGGCTAACTGTAAATGGGGCGGGCCCAGGGCAGTCACAAGACCCAGGGCAGGTCAGGGGCAGGCGTGGCTGGCTTTGCAGATGCAGGAAGGGGCCACCAGCCTCTCAGCCAGGGTGGCTTATAGGAGGAGGGCAGCCCTGCCGACACCGCGAGCGACTTGGTCGTTTGTTACAGCAGCCGCAGGAAGCGGTTCCCGTGGTCCTCGCACTTTACCTGCCCCGCTCCATCAGACCCTCAGCTCCCGGTCTGCTGTGCCCTGATGGCCGCCGGCCACCAGCACAGCCTCTGAGGTCACGAACCCCAGCTCGAGGGACCCCAACAGGGCACACAGTCTCTGAGCCCACGCACCCCACATCAAAGGAGTACTCACGTGTCTCCCGGCACTGCTTAGAGCAAGACCGCGCTTCATACAACGCTGCCCTGGGTTGGGGGCTGCGGGTGGGGTTTCCAAAGCCCACTCCCGGGCCCATGAGTCTTGCTCGGAGCTCGGTCCCTGAGCTCCTGTCTTGGGCCTACTTCCCTGGGATACCCGCCCTTGGCACCTGCAGCCCTGAGCCGTGCTGGCCACAGGAGGACACTGAGGCCCAGGCAGGGACCACCGGTGTCCAGGTGTGGGGGATGGGACCCAGCCCTGCCTTCCCTACAGTAGGAGTAATGGCTCCTCCTGGACAGGTGGGTCAACTCAGGCCCCGCCCCCTGGTAGGAAAATAGAATACTGAGCAGGAAGATGCACACAAGGACGAATCAAGCCTGCTCTTCCGTGCTAAGGCTCACCTCGGTGCTCTGGTTTGACAGCAATTTTTTTCTCTTCCTCCCTAGACGCACCTGTTGTGCCAGTACCCTAAGCACTGCCTGGGTCGGGTACATGGGAACAGGAGTCTGTGGGCAAATACACGGGCAGCTGCTGCCCGTCATCTCCTTTATGGAGACACAGAGCAGCCCATCAGCTCGTCAAAGGCGCTGACGAGGCCTGCAATAAAGGGCCTCATTTAGCCAGGTCTTCCCATGTTATCTGAGCCCAGATCCCTTTGTTTGTACATGATATTAACCTCCAGCTGTGAGTGTGTCTAGGAAACCCTCCTGGGGACTCTGGGGGTTTCTTCAACCCAGCAGGCGTATAATTCTGACTCACAAGGCCCTAGGGTGTGAGACGGGCAGGAGCTGGGCGCCCACCAGCTTGCTTGGGCCCTTCAAGAGAACGGGAGCCCCAGGCTCAGCAGGGAGGGCGGCCCTGGGAAACAACCCTCTCACCTTGCTGGCTCCCGGCAACAGGTGCAGCTTCACGTAGGGGTCGGCCAGCCCATTGTGGTCCATCGGCTTCAGGCCCTGAGCAGGGACAGCAGACGGTGTGAGCTGGGGAGTGGGGGGTGCAGGGCAGCCAGGGCCTGGGCCAGCCGAGGCCCTCTGCCCCTCCTGGCTGAGTTCACTGCCCTCTTTCCCGAAGCATCCGGGCCACACCCTCAGGTCAGGGAGGGCCCGCCCGCCCGCCCCTGCCGCCAGACACGCAGGCCAAGGCCTCTAGTCCCCCGCCTTGCTGGTGACCCTCCTTGCTCCAAAGAGGCCCGCACTGTCCTGCTCTGGTCGGGGGCTTCCCTCCTCCGGGATCCGCCCCCTTTGCAGACACAGCCTCTGACTCTATGTCACCGACTCCTCATCCTCTACTCATCCACGCGCTTCCCGGGGGTCACAGGAAACCGCCGCGGGGCCAGGCTCCACGGCCAGCCCTCCGCGACTGCAGGGCTCCCGCAGCCGGCGGCCGCGGAGGCTCCGTCCACAAGGTGGCGCCCTCCCCAGCTTTGCTTCCAGCTCCTTCGCCAATCGTGCCGAGAATGCCCCACCGGGAGCCCACCGACCCACGCCCGGCCAGGCGGGGGGCCGAGCTGACCTCAGGCTCCTCCTCCTGGGGCCTGCATTTTCCCTTCCCGCACGGCTCCCCCTGGGGCCTGACTCAGACCAACCGCAAGTTTACTACACAACGGGGATCGGCTGCTCCCACCAGGCGCGCCCCCTCATCTCGCACTGGGGCGGCGAAGCTTCCGCCCCCCCCACCTCCGGGAAAAGGAGAGGAGAAGTGGCCCCCCGGTCGCGCCAGTCCTGCCAGCGCCTGCGCTCAGCCCTCGGCTGTGGGTACTTCGCAGCTGGGCGAGTGGGTGGGTTGCTCAAGGCCCTAAGCCTCGTCCGTCTCATCTGTAAAAGGGGTTGATAATCAGCTTTCCCCGGGCCTGAGGGGAGCAGACAGCACAGCCGCGGGGCGGGCAGGCGGGAGTTTGCCCTTCCCTCCGTGCCAGGCCCCTGGGACTGTGACCCAGCGCCTGCAGGCCGCTGCCGCTGCACGTTTGTCCGTGGCTGTGCAACGTGTTTGCAGGGGGTCAGGTGTCCGGCTTTCCTCTCACACAGCTCTGGGCCTCCAGAACGCCCGGCGTGTCTACCCCTGCCTCGGTGGCCTCGCCTGCGGACCTCCGAGGTGGGGAGTGACGCCTGCTCCGTCCTACCGGTCCCTGGACTGTGCTGGGGCCTCTGCCCCTCCCCCACCCCTCCCACCAGCAGGTCTCTGGGGGGCCTCGGGGGCCGCACACTTGGCTCAGCCACAAAAGCGACCGTGGGTGCAGCCAGATGCCCGGGCACTATTCTGTCACCAACTTCCGGGCCCACACGGGTGGCCTCCCTGGCCCCCCGGGGATCCACCTGCTGCCTATGGGGTGCGGACAGGGTCTGCTCCCAGCGAAGGTCAGGGGCGTGACGGGAAGCCCCTCAGAGGGATCCCCCCAGCTTACAGTGTCTGCCAGAGGTATGACCCGGCTCTGGGGCGGGCTTCCACAGGCCGGGGCGGCGGAGGAAGTGGGAGGGGTCTCTAGCTCTGCCAAATGTTCAGGGGCGGGGTCTTCCAGACTCGCCAGGGCCAGCCTGCAACAGCAGCCGTCCCACGGGGAGGAAGCTCTGCGCCGGCACAGCCCGCGGGGCCTGGAGGGCTTCCCTGCTGCCCTACTGCAGGGTGCCACATGGGGGGCTCCCAGAGTGCTCGGATTCCTGGGGACCCACAGCGGAGGGGTCTGTCATGTGCAGCCCTGGGCTCACCGGGTGGGGTCTGTGTCCCTGGCACTGAGCTGACAATGGGGCTGGGTTTGTGTTTTACAGACAGGCAGGGGTCCCGCGCGGGGTTTTCCTGGCTTTTTGCACGTGTGTGTAGGGGGTGCGTGTATGGCCGTGACTGACCCTACTGCACACACAGCAAAGCCCGAGGTGGCCAAGTCAGGGCCCAGCCTCCCCTAAACACCCCCATCTCGCTCCTACCCCAGGGACCCAGCCCATCCATGCCTGCACTGCCTCTTCTATGAACCTGGGGGTTCACAGAGAAGGTTCCAGAGGGTGGGGACACCACTGTGGCTCTGGGGCCACCCATCCCCCGCTGTGGTGCCTGCTGGGCCCCACAGTCAGCAGAGGCATATGTGTATACCACAGGTACCTGCCTAGACCGGGGGTGCCCACACGGAGACACACACACACACGTGCACACATGTGCACACACACGTCAGGCTGGGGAGGGCAGGCAGCTACACACAGGGTGGGGGGGTCCTGGGGTTTGGGATGGAGGAGGAGGGATGGGCTCTGGCCAGAGTGGCCTGACAGCCTGGGTAACTTCTCTAAGGCAGGGAGGAGCCACAGAAGGGGCCTACCCCACCCCGGGGAGGGGGCCCAGAGGAGAGGGGAGGGTGGGGACACAGCAGGCAGGTGGCTGTGGCCCGTGGTGGACTGCACTCCCCCGCCTGCTGTGGCCCACGTGGGATGGCCCATCCCGCTGGGGGTGCTCAGAGCCAGGGGCTGCCCCTCAGCTGGCGGGTAGGGCCAGGGAAGGCGTGGGTCGGGAAGGCCGGGGTGGGTCAGGGCCCAGGCAGCTCTGTGGGGAGCCCGGCCCATCCCCAGCCCCGCCAGGGGCTCTCGTAGGCCTTGCAGGCCCTTACCTTTCGAGAAAACATCAACTTGGGCACCTTCCTCCCGGAGGGAGCCATGAGGTAGGGGACGGAGGGAACAGCACGGGTGAGAACAGAGCTGGCTCGGGGAGGGGCTCCACAGACACCCAGCACCCAGGGAGCGAGGCCAGGAGGCCGGACCCCTGCCTGGGGTGGTCTCAGCCTCCTCCGCGGCCCCAGCGTCCAGGGCAGGAGTTCGGAGTCGCCCACTCCTCGGAGTCCGGGCGGCCGAGGTGCTGGGCGCTTGGGTGGGAGAGACCCCCAGCAGCAGCCGCAGCCTCCGTCCATGCCTGCCCTGCGGGACCCACAGCCCCCACCCCCACCCTGCTCACACCCTCCGGCCCCTCCTCCCTCTGCTCTCTGAACACCCGCCTGGCAGGGATTTTAGTTCTCCCTGCCCTGCCCCGGTGCAGCCCAGTGGACAGAGGCAGGGCTGGGCTTCCAGCCGGCGGCACAGGGGCGCAGGGGTGTGGGGGTGCGGGCGTGGGCCTACCTTGGCCTTGCTGATGGTGCAGTGCAGGGCGTTGCTCTCCTGGTCGTACAGCAGGCTGAAGTCCAACGTGCCCAGGGCGGCTGCCGACAAAGAGGCCCGGGGTCACGCAGCGGCAGGGGAAGCCGCACCGGCCCCTGCCTGCCCAAATGGGCCTTTTTTTTTTTTCCCCCAACAAGAGACAAAATATTGTTTAGAGAAATCAGTGCAGGCCAAAGTCATCCTTAGTAATTCTCAGGGGATTTAAACACGCAGACTCTAGGAATGCAGGCAGCGACTCCAATCAGACACAGCATCGGGACCCAGCCCGCCTCCCCCTCCACCCCAGGTTCTGGCCCAGGTTCTGGCCACAGGGCCACCTGAAGAAGCCGAGCAGCCCTCCAGGTTCCAGTCACCGAGACGGCTCACAGACGGCCGCTACAGCCCTGAGACCCGCTGGTCACATTTCAGTTACCCCTATGGGCTCCCATTCAAATCCCGGCTGCCCCACTTCCCATCCAGCTCCCTGCTATGGCCTGGGAAAGCAGTGGAAGATGGCCCAAGTGCTTGGGCCCCTGCACCCACGCGGGAGACCTGGAAGAAGCTCCTGGCTCCTGGCTTCCCCCTGGCCCTGCCCTGGCTATTGAGGATTGAGGTTACTGGGGGAATGAACCAGCGGATGGAAAATCCCCCTGCTTCTATTCTGCCTTTCAAATAAATTAATAAATCTTTTTAAAAATAAAGTAAAAATTACCCAAAAGTATTTCTTTATGGAGATGAATGCCCCAGATCTCTCAGCCTTGGCATACTTCCTGCTCACTGAAGTCACAGGCACATTTTAACGTCCCTGGTGATGGCATCATCGGTGCTTGTCATTTTTTTTTTTTTTAAGATTTATTTTATTTGAAAGGCAGAATGAGAGAGAGAGGGCTTCCATCTGCTGGTTCACTCCCCAAATGGCTGCAACAGCCACGGCTGTGCCAGGCCAAGGCTTGGAGCCTGGAACTCCATCCAGGTCTCCCACATGGGTTCAGGGGCCCAGGTACTTGGGTCATCCCTCGCTGCTTTCCCAGGCGCATTAGCAGGGAGCTGGATCAGAAGTGGAGCAGCCGGGACTTGAACTGCTGCCCACACGGGGTACCGCTGTCCCGGCTTGGGGGTGGGGCGGTGCTTAACCTGCTGCGCCACGGCTCCGGCCCCGTCAGCGCTGCTCTAACCTGCACAGCCTGTGAGTACTAACACACAACCACCGCAAATTTACAAAACTGAAATCTACACACGTGAACCACACCGCGTCCTCCAGGTAACAGGTAGAAGTATAAAGGTGGGCCACCAGCAAGGACAGAATGCGTCTCCATGGCAACTGCCGCCCACTGAGCACCTACTGTTTGCCGGTGCCACCCAGCCCTGGGAGCGGTGTCACTGGCCCATTTTCCACAGGAGGAGCTGAGGCCCGGAGGTGAGGCTCAGGGGGCCACCCCCACTACCCAGCCTCCTGCCCCAGCCCCTGCGCTGCACTGCCTATGGCTGGCCCAGGGTGGTGCGCATGTGTGCCAGGCTCTGGCTACAGGAGCTCCTGTCCTCCCTGGGCAACTGCCCTCGGTGTCCCTCAGGCCTGAGTGGCCGGCAGAGATGGGGCAGAGAGGCTGCAGGCCCTGGCCAGGCCGACCGCCGAGCCACTGGAAGGCTCCCTCGGGGCTCGGCCTCTGGGGGGGCCGTGGGCCAGCAGCGAGGAGCAGCTGGGTCCCCGTGCTGCTTCCCCGTCTCTCAGAGGCAGCAGCCACTCTCAGGGGCCAGGAGGAGGGTGCAGCAGGAACGGGTGCAGCTGCCACCCTCAGGAGCCGGCACACGCAACAGCTGTGGCCTTCCACGCCGAAGAGGCTCTTGGCACCAGGCCAGGACGGACCCTGGAGAGCAAAAGGCACATCCCCTTATGCCTTCCGCAGCCTGGTCCTGCTTCCAGGCCCTGAGCTGGTGAACCGTCTCATGCACACATGTGTTGTATGCTCAGGATACGTACGGGGCAGGGTCCCTCTCCCCATGGTGAGCACTGCTTACGGGAAAGAATGGATGAAAAGAACCCACATGGTGGAGTCCACTGAGACAGGAGCCACGGAGGTCCTCAAGGGATGCCTGGCCTCCACTTGGATGAGAGCTATCAAGGAAGGCTTCCTGGAGGAGGCGATGCCTCACCTGAGCCATGATGGAGAAGTAGGAGTTGGCCAGTGGCACAGGGGGGCTTTGTGGCTGGAGAGATGCTGGGCTGAGGGGTGAGGTGCCTGTTCTTTAGGCAAGGGCTGGAGCTGGGCTCCTAGCATGGGGCTTGGTCCTCCGGTGGCTACTGGCCAAACCCCGCCACAGCATCTACTGCAAAGGCAGAGCTGGGGAGATGGCACCCGACCACACGGGCCCTTGCAGGAGGAGAGCACCTGCCCCGGGCGGGCCAGTGTTCCGTGCAGCCGCCCGCTCTTCCCAGGTGAGGACAAGAGTCGTGGTTGTCGTGCACCCCCTGCCAGGCTCACGGCCCCGCCTTTGCCTGTGGCAGCCTGGACAGCATCCCTGTGTGTGACCTGAGCGTCTCCCACGTCTCTGTGCCCCGTCTGCCGAGTCCCGGCGCACGGGAAGCCCTCGGAGGTAATTATAGACGGCGCAGTCCCACTTTGGCAGCTTTTCTAGAAAACTGGACTTGCCCCCCCGAGACCCGTTCTGGAACAAAACTGCTCAAACAGGATCGCTCCCTTCCCCACCTGGGGAGCTCACGCACAGTGTCACTCAATGCTGCTGCCTGTCACTGCTACCGCAAGACAAGGGGAAGGCTGGGGGGTCCCTCCGCTGGCAGCCCCAGGCGGCCCGGTTCTGACTTTTTTTTTCAAGTTTAATTTATTTATTGGAAAGGCAGAGTTACAGAGAGGCAGAGAGAGAGAGAGAGAGAGAGAGAGAGAGATTGATCTTCCTTCTGCTGGCTCACTCCCCAAATGGCTGCAGTGGCCAGAGCTGGGCTGATCCAAAGCCAGGAACCAGGAGCTTCTTCCAGATCTCCCGATGGGTGCAGACTGCTTTCCCAGGCCATAGCAGAGAGCTGGATGGGAAGTGGAGCAGCTGGGATTCGAACCGGCGCCTATATGGGATGCTGGCACTGCAGGCGGCGGCTTTACCTGCTACGCCACAGTGCCAGCCCCTTAATAAAAGTTTTAAAAGAAAGAGTCGGGCCGGCGCTGTGGCGCAGCGGGTAAAGCCACCACCTGTGACGCCAGCAGCCCATACTGCGCCCTGGCCATGCCCTCCCGCCCCATGCTCTGTGTGCTCAGGCTGTGTGCTCACCAGTAGTTCACAGGAGTGCAACGTGGGCGCCAACACACCCACGCTTTCTGTGTTTTGCAGCCCCAGAGAAGGACAAGCGGGAGAGACAGAGGGCTGCCTGCTCCCCGGGGCCTCCTGGCTGCAGAAGGGGGAGGCGCTGCTTGCGACAGAGACTCTGTGCGACGAGGGCCTGGACATGGCCCAGCAGAAGCCACTGCTGCCAGCCCTTCCCGGGGACCCCGAGCCTGGGTGGCCCTCCGACAGCCTGAAGCCCTCTGAACCCAGTGACAGCTCTGTAAGAAGTGACAGTTAAGCCACAGCCTGCGACACTGGCATCCCAAATCTGAGCGCTGGTTCCAGTCCCAGCTGCTCTGCTTCTGATCCAGCTCCCTGCTAACGCACCTGGGAAAGCAGAAGATGGCCCAGGTGCTTGGGCCCCTGCACCCGCGTGGGAGACCCCGAAGAAGCTCCTGGCTCCTGGCTGCAGCCTGGCCCAGCCTCGCCTGTTGCAGCCATTTGGGGAGTGAGCCAGCTGATGGAAGAGCTCTGTCTCTCCTTCCCTCTCTGTCACTCTGCTTCTCAAATAAATAAAGAAACGAAAGAAAGAAAGGACAGCGTCTAAACGGAAGCGTGGCGTGGCGGCAGTTTTGGGAAGCCCACCAGTGGTGAGGCTCTCTTAGGGAGCGAATGGTCCCTAGGCTTCATTCCCTAGAGGAGACGCGCGGCTCAGAGAGGGAAGGTGACCTGGCTGGGCGGGCCCAGCGCAGCTGCCCAGAGTCCGGGTCTCTTCACTGCCTGAGTTTCTGCCTTAAAGCTCAGTGGATCCCCACAGAGCCCCGGGGTTTAGCTAAAGTCTTAGCAGGACACAAAAAGGAAACCGGAGAGAGAAGGCAGAGCCCCTGGAGGGGGCGGGGCGGGCCTGTGGGGGGAAGGCACCTAGGCTGTGAGTGCCGTCGCCCCCCCCAGCCCCATTTACATTTGCAGAAATGGTGAGGGCCGGGCACTAAGGGGCCTCTGCCCCTCAGATCCTCCCTGGCTAATTTGAGGCGGTCAGCTTGTGCTAGTGGGCTTCTCTGAGGCCTAACGCCTGGGCGTGGCTCTCTTGACCCACACACCACTGGGACAGGAAATGTGTCCTAAATAGAGAGAGAACTACTTACCCAAAATTTCACTTATTTTTATTTAAAAGCTGGGGGGGGGGACCTTCCATCTGCTGGTTCCTCTCCACAGTGCCCGCGATAGCCAGGAGCCCGTAACTCCATCCGGGTCTCCTGCATGGCGGCAGAGCCCTCGGCACTCCGCGTCATCTGCGGCCTCCCAGGATCCCTTGCAGGGAGCTGGACTGGAAGTGGAGGTGCCAGGACTGGAGCCAGCACTGTCACATGGGCTGTGGGTGTCCCAAGCCGTGGCCTGACCTGCTGTGCCACAACGCCCACCCCCAAGTGCATTCCTAACCACAGCACCAAACACCTGCCCCTGGGCCGACTTTTTCTGAAGAAAAATGTCAGCCTTCCACATACTAAAAACTAAAAACAAACAAACAAAAAACACACAAGCAAACAACTGCGGCAGGAACCACGGACAGCGACGCAGTCTGCATTGAACCTGATCCACAGGTGGGGACAGTGGGCACGGAGCAAGGCAGGGACAGGGGAGGAGAGGAAGGGGGGGTCATTGGCCAGGACAGGGCCGGCTGGCGGCTCTGCAGCCCTCTGCTTTCGGTTGCTGAGAACTCCCTGTCCCTCCCAGACCCACTGCGGCCCGGTGGCAGCACGGCCTTGGCCATGTGATTTCCCCCGATTCCAGCTGCTGGGCCGTGGCACCCCTGGTGCGGCTGGCCTCTACATACCGCCCTGCCCTGCCCCCCCTCCTGCACCTCGCCCTCCCCTTTGGGTTTCGAGTGCACTGGGCGGTCAGAGGTGGGTCCAGCACCGAGCCGGACATGTTGGGAGAGTGCACACAAATATCATGGTGGGTCTGGGCAGCACACGACTGAAGGCGAGCGAGGAAGGGGCACACAGCCAGCAGGCCTGGCACCTTGGCGGCACACCCAGCCACGAGTCCCGACTTTGCCCTTGCTCCAGGTCTCGGGGCTGAATTATGCAGGCTTAGGTTGATGCATGAATCTTATGGGAACTTCTGGGAAAGGTTTCTCGGATCTTAAACTGCGAAATGGAGTAGGAAACTGGTCCTCAAATCTAGGTGACACCTGGACCCACAGCAGCCACCTTGAGCCGTGAGGATTCTGCTGGGTTCATGGAGGCACAGGCACCACGAGGACCCTGGTTTGCGCCTGGGTGTCTCTCACCCACAAATGCATGGGAGCAGGAGATTGACGCTGGTTTCCAGCCTCGGAGGGAAAGAGTGTGGCCGAGTGGGAAGACAGAAGCATTGCCAGGGACGGTGGCGAGGGGTCTGGAGTGGCAGGACCATCACTGTGCTCGCGGCCCAAGCCACGGGCTCTGGTCTCCGGTTTCTCCCAACTCAAAGCCTCTGAGCCATGGCAGCTTCGGAGGCTGGAGCAGTAGCCGCAGGTGGTGGTGGGTGTCTCTAGCAATGGAGCTCTGCCCCTTGGGCGGGCCGGGGTGGGGAGGGGCAGGGGCACCAGTGTTTGCTGCCTGTGCCCTTCCCACCCTCCCAGGAGCTCTGCTGGGAACACTAGGCTCGTGCCTTGAGGTGACTTAATAAAGGATGGGCTTTGGAGGGGAAACAGAAAGGCGGAGTAAATCAACAGCACTTGTCTCCCGGCCTGGGACAACACAGCAACCGCCCTCATTTCTTTTTGTTAGAACAGAGATAATCCAATAATTAGGGCAGCAAATAGCATAACCCTGGCTCAAGCCGTAATGAACCATCTGGCTTGAATCATTTAGGCTTATTCAGGGATCTGGCTGTCAAGAGCCCAGAGCAGGGCACACGGCCTGGGGCAGCGGGTGGAGGGCAGACCTGCCCCCAACCTGTTCCCCCCAGGGGCAGGAGCCCAGGTTCCTGCGCTCGAAGCCAGGATGGGGTCCAGGCCTTGAAAGGCGACGGCGGTGGGGGGGGGGGGGGTTGGGGAGGGAGGGAGGGCACACTGGCTCCGGCTGTTCCCAAGCCTCTTGTCAGTGTTTCTTTAGTGAGTCCTGGTGACATGGGTGTGGCCAGCCCACAGCTTAAGCTCACCAGGCTGTGTCCACCAGAGTCCGCCCCCTGCCAGGACACCCCGCCCAGCCCTCTGCCTGCTGCTAACCCTGGGGCGACAGACAGGTGGCGGGGCTGCTGGCCCGAGCCCCTGGCTGTCTGAGGGCTCTGGGACTTGTTGGCCGTGGCATGCAGGGGCCCTCTGTGGCAGGAGGAGTGTGGCCTGAGGCTCAGGGAAGCCCTGCCCCACCTGCCCGCTCCCTTGGCCCAGGAGTGGCTTCTCCAGAGGTGACTTGGGATTCAGGGCGGCCAGGAGCTGACTTGTCCCCTGGAGGGCCTGCTCAGAGGCCAGCAAGGGAGGGGGCCAGGCGCGGGGTGGTGGTCGGGGTGCGGGGTGATGAACTCTGCCCCAGTCTCCCAGGCTGGCAGGAAAGTGGGGGAAATGATTACTCCCCCACCCCCATGCCCCGGGGCAGGGCTCCACCTGCCAGGCCTGTGGTCCAGGCCTAGACAGAGTGCTCAGCCCCCCCCCCCCCCCCGCGGTGGTGGGGCCTCCCCAGGCAGGGAGGCAAGTGCCAGCACTGTGGGTGGCACCGGTAACCTCCACTTGGGCAAATTATGGACTGGGGGGAACTCCAGGCCTGGAGCCAGGTGAGGGCCCCAAGCAGGCTATACAGACCCAGGGCCGGGTTTGACGCTGGGTTTCCGGGTCTCAGGGATGCAGCTGGGGCCACAGCTGGGTGGGGAGCCCCTCGCACCGTGTCCCTAGCCCCACCTGGTGCACAGCGACTCCCCATGAGACCGTGACCTCCTGCCTCGGTTTTGCCCACCAGCCCCGGGGCCGGCCGGGCCTTGGCCCCGCGGATCCGGGGCCCACGCCTGTTCCCTGGGGGCTCAGGGCGGGGAGGAGGGGGCGCGGGTGTAACAGGTGGGCAAAGGTCGCCGGTCCGGCCAGCACCGCGGCGGGGTCCACGCAGCGACAGGAGGGACCGCCAAGGTTTTTCCGAAGGACAACCGGCCCCGCGGTCTTCCCGGTCCTCGGCCCGCGCGCCAGAAAAGCCGCCGCGCACTGAGGGCTGCTGGGCCCACCGGGAGGCCCGGGCTCCCCGCCCCAGCCCGGACCCTGGGCCGCGGGGCCTGTCCGGAGCGGCTCGCGCGCGGGGAGCCACCGTGCGGCCGGCAGCAACTGGTGTCTCCCCGGGGCGCAGCTCCGCCCTTCCCGGGAACAAAAGCCGCCGCCCGCGCCCGAGCTCCCCGCAGGCGGGCCGAGAGGGGGCGCGGCCCCGGAACGGGACGCCCCCAGGGGGCGCCCCCAAACTTCCCACCTCACCGGCCCCGGCAAGGAGGTGTCGGGCGGGTGTGCAGGGTGCGCGGAGCGCACGGGGCAGGCGCGGGGGCCGCGGGCTGGGCGCGGGGCGCGCGGGAGGGCGAGGGCATCGCGCGGGGGCCCCGGGGGACGCGCGAGGCCGCGGCGCGCGCCCCGCGAGGGGAGGGGGCCGGCGCCGGCGACTTGGAAACTTACTGCAGTCGTCCGACTCGTAGCCGTCGGCGTCCGGCTCGTCCTCGGGGGGCTTGGCGGGCGGCCGCGCCGGGCTGGGGCCGGGGCCGGGGCCCGGGCTGGCGCCGTAGGCTCCGAAGAGCTGGTCCACGTCCTCGTCGTCGTCGCGGGCGCCGTCGGAGGGGCTGCGGCGGCCCGCGCTGGCCGCGGCCGGGCGCGCGGGGGTGTCCGGGGGCGCCTCGGCGCGCGGCCCGGCGGCCGGGGGCAGCCCCCGCGGGAAGCGGGGGAAGTAGTCCGAGATCTGCTTGATGGGCCGGATGGGGCCGGGGCACACGTCGATGGCCATATGCTCCTGGATGCTGATGGTCGCCTTCTCCCCGCGCCGCCGGAGGGTCATGCAGGCAGCGCCGCCCCGCCCGGGCGCGGCCCGGCCCGGCGCGACCCCAGCCCGCGGGCGGCTCAGCAGGCCCGGCGGGGCGCGGCGGGGGCTGCGGGCGCGGCCGGCGGCGCCCCCGGACGGCCTTGACGCGGCTCCTGCCTGCTCGGCGGCGGCCGGCGCGAGTGAGTGCAGGGGCCGGCAGGCAGGGGGCGGGCCCAGCCCGCGTCACCCGGTAGCAACCAAGCAGGGTGAGTGCGCGGGCTGTGCGGGAGGCGCGGAGCGGAGCGAGCCGGGCGGCGCCACCCGCGCCCGCACTCGCGCTCACACCGGCGCGCACGCCGGCCCGGGACCCTGCGCGCGCACACGGCGGGCGGGCGGCCAGGGTCCCCGGCGCCTCTGGTTTGCGGTGGCTCTTGGGGCCAGCTGACAGCCGGCTGAGCAGGGACCGCGGGCCACGCAGCTCCGCGTTCCTGCGCGGGCCGGCACACGCTGTCACTCTCAGGACACACGCAGGTGTGTGCAGGGAGCGCTGAGCACGCACAAGCGTGTGCAGAGACAGTGACAGTTCCACTCACGCCTGCAGGGTGCGCGTGCACACACAGGCATGCTAGATTCTGTGGCACAGAAGCCCCCCCCACCTCCCCCTCCCCCTCATGGGACACAGAAACACCCGTGCAGATGCTCAGGGGACCCTGGACACATCTCCCCGTCTAACCTTGCCCACTGCACTCCTGGTAGCACAGGGCCCAGCTGCTCCCACACCAGCAGGAAGTGCCAGGCACACGCAGCTGGGCACTCTCAGGTCACCTGCCCGCTGGGCCTTTGGCAGTGCCTCCCTTGCTCACTGAGTGGCTTGCAGGACCCAGGGGCACTGGGTGGCCTATCAGGAGGGGGTGAGGTGAGGGTGGGCCTGGGCAGTGAGAAAGGAGGCAAGGCGCAAAGGCAGGGGCACAGGTGCCCGCCTGCTTAGGCCTAGGTGTGGCCAGGGAACTAAGTCCATCCCAGCAGCCCAGCCCAGGCTGCCGTCTGGCTGGGAACTGAGCTCCACCGGCCGACGGCTGCTGACACAGGTGCGTCCCTGGAATCCTGCTCTCCTACCAGGAACGCTTGTCTTCCTGTGAGTCTGAACGAGGACCCTGAGCCTGGGTCGCCCCTCTGCCACCCGCGAGCCTGGGTCGCCCCTCTGCCACCCGCCTCGCCGCGGGGTGGGGAGCCGACAGAAGAGAGGCCAGGCCTTGCTTGCGGCTGCATCATTCCGGCAGCTCTGAACCTGTGTACCCCTCCGGGCAATGGGGTTAATTCTAACTCCACAGGAACCTCACAAGGTCAGCTTTCTCTTCCCCTTGCCGTAAGAGCCAAGGCCCTGGTGATTAGTGAGGACCTAGCGTCGGGTTGAGTTCTGAGCTGGTGGTGGTGGCCGCCACGCACCTGGGGAAGCCCGGAGCATGCGCAGTGGTCGTCTCATTGATTGCTGTCGCACCCCAGCGCGGAGGGCAGGCACGCTGCTCCCATTTTGCAGGTGAGAGAATTAAAGGCTCAGATACAGGCACCTGTGCAGGCGGAGTGCCGGCTGGTTGCAGAGCCGGGATGAGAATCCATCGTTGAGTCTGTGTGGTGTGCTGTCCTGCGGAAGGGCAGCTCATATATAACGCACATTTGTTTATCACGATTCCGAGGCCACGGAGTCCAACGCTAAGGCACCGGCAGGTTTGGCGTCTGGGGAGGGCTGCTCTCTGCTTCCAGGATAGCGCCTTGCTGCTGCCTCCTCTGGAGGGGAGGTCGCTGGGTCCTCGCCTGGCGGAGGGGGAAGGGAAAAGTGGAACCAAACTCCCTGTGACAGGTGCTTCTATCCATCAATCCACTCATGAAGGCGGATCCTCCCCACACAGCAGCAGGTGTCCTGACTTTGCTTTTTTGCATTTGTTGGAGAGACAGAGATGGATGCAGAGATAGGGAGAAAGAGGGAGAGAGAGAGTGCTTCATACTCCAGGGTTCACTCCCCAAATGCCCACAGCTGAGCTGGGGTCAAAGCTGGGAGCCAGAACATGACCCAGGTCTCCCACGTGGGTGGCAGAGACTGATTACTGCTGCCTCCCAGGATCCAATAGCAGGAAGGTGGAGTCAGGAGCTGGACACTGAATCGCAGTAGCCCGCTGTGGGATGCCAGTGTCTCTACTGCCAGACCTGCAGAGCTGTCCCGGGGCTCCTCGGACAGGGTCCACCCTCACTGGGGAGGGGAAACAGGGGACCTGCCCAGCCCCAGCCCTGGCCAGTGTGGCCAATTAGGAAGTGAACCAGCAGGTGGAAGACCTGTTTCTGTCCCTCCCTGTCTGTCACTCTTTCAAATAAGTAAACATCCTAATAGAAAGAGATGGGTGACTGCAGACACCGTGTGGATATTGTTTGCCCAGCACAGGTTCTCTTGCCTTCCTGCTGCAAGCTGTCATCACATGCCCTGCACCTGCCTCAGTTTCCTACCTGTGAGATGTAGTGCTGCCCTTCTTGTCTGGGGCTGGGAGGGGTGCGGAGCAGCAGATCTGCCAGCTGGCAGGTGTAGGGAGCTTCAAGCCCCAACAGTCATGTCATCTGTAGTCCCCCATGCTGCAGTGGGCAGCCGGGGTCGGTGCTGGGGGTGTGGCTCTGCCCTGGTTCACTGCCTCCCCCTCACCTCTCCTCCACAGGCCTCTGAGCACCTGCACTCTCTACAGTCCCCCACAGTGAGGCACACGTGGGTGGCCGGGGCTCCGGGGCCACCGGGATGGCCCTCAGTGCTCGTCGCAGCCCCTCGCCCCTGCTGGCTCGGAGTCCACGCGGGCCGACACCGGAGGTGTCTTAACAAGCAGCCCCAGATTATTTTTATGAAGGCTGAGAATTGCTGGCTCGGGAGGTGCTAATGGTTTCACACAGTGACTCGCAGCCTGTGGGCTGTGTCCCCACCGCTTACAGGTGTGTCACACCCACCCACCCATTACAGCTTGCAGAATTTAGTGGTTCTTTTTGGAAGGGTGCATTTTTTTATTGTTGATTTTTGATCACTGCATTGCTTATCAATTCTTTTTTAAACAATTTTTTAAAAGATTTTATTTATTTGAGAGGTAGAGTTACAGACAGAGAGAGGGAGAGACAGAGAGAAAGGTCTTCTATCCATTGGTTCACCCCACAAATGGCCACAACGGCCGGAGTTGCGCCAATCCGAAGCCAGGAGCCAGGAGCTTCTTCCCGATCTCCCATGCAGGTGCAGGGGCGCAAGGACTTGGGCCATCTTCCACTGCTTTCCCAGGCCACAGCAGAGAACTGGACTGGAAGAGAAGCAGCTGAGACTAGAACCGGCGCCCATATAGGATGCCAGTGCTGCAGGTGGAGGATTAACCTAGTGTGCCATGGCCCCTGCTTATCAGTTCTTAACTCTGGGGAACTAAGGTGGGGAGTGGGGTGGAGTTTCCAGTGGGGTTTGGCGAAACCGCCCTGGGGTGCCTGATACGCCCTCCTCTGGGTAGGATGAGCTCCTGTTGTCTGAAAATCGCCAGCTGCTCCCTTTCCTTCCAGCAGGTCACCTCTAGGCAGTACTTGGCTCCGTGCCCACAGCTGGCACCTCTGGCTGGTGTTCTCGCACCCCCTGGCCCCAGCTTCCCCTGGCAGCACCTTGTCTGTGTTGCTGGGAATTGGTAACTCAGGCAAGGGGCTCCTGGAGCAAGTGCACGCAGTGTGCTCCTGGAAGGAGAGGCCGTGCTGCCTCCTGTGTGTTCCTCTCTCCATGAATCCCCACTTCAACAAACGCCTGCTGAGCACCACCCTGGACAGGCCACGGCCTGCAGGGGCTGGCTGGTGAACAGAGCCCAGTTTCCTTGAGCATCCAGGTGATGGGGGGCGAATCAGAAGGGACCTAGGAACCCTCCCCTGCCTCTTTTGCACACGGGGGCCCTAGCAGTGAGGCGTGACGGAGCGCGGATGGGTGCAAGTCACCTTAGGTGTTGGCGCCGTAGCTTGTGGCTGCTCCAGGCACACTTGATGTCTTAAGTGATAATGAAAAATGGAGCTCTTTCTGCTCATTTCTTACGCTCTTTCTCATAAACACATTACACTTGCCACACTACATTTACGAGCTCTGGGCCCGGCGGCGGGAGGCTAACGCTTACCTAATGATGTCGCTTTGCACACGTCTGCTCTGCAGCTGTGCTGACGGCCCCTCCTGGGAGAGCCGTGGAGCCGTCTGCAGACCACAGGTGTGGGGCCCCTGCACCTCACCCACCCCTTAGCTTTCCAGATGGCAAAACTGGGGCCCACGCCCGGGCGTCTGGATGCCTGGCTCACACGGTTGCTGAGGTTGCACAGAGCTGGGAGGCAGGGCTAGGCTCTCTCCCCCATCCCTGGCCAATGTCTGGGCCGCTGCACTGGAAAGGGGTGAGGAGGGGCGACTCACCTGGCACCAGGTGGCCTCTGGCAGGACATCAGGTGCCACGGAAGCTTAATGCTGAGTGGGTGGATAGGTGGGGGAGGGGAGAGCCAGAAATGACCTCAGGGAGGACAAGGGTATAGCTCTCAGCCCGGTGGCAGTACCACTGATGAGCCCTCTACCTCCAGAGCCTGGGACTGTGGGAGCCCAAGAGGTGGGTTCCAGGGGTCTGCGGGCCCAGGCAACGCTCAGCAATGTACGGATCAGGCTGGGCAGGCACTCTAGCAGTTCTGAAACCCGAGGCTGGCAGACACGAGTGTTCCTTTAGACAGCTTTGAATTCAATATCAATTCAAAAGCATCAGTGCAAGTGGTGGCTTCCAATTACAACTTTTAAAATTTATAAAATATTTCAGATGTACAAAAAGACCTACAGTATTGTGGAAGAATGCCTGCTCCACTCCTACCAGCCAGCTCAGAAATAAATGAGTACAGGTTCCTCCAGAAGCTGAACCTGGGGGCTGGCATTGTGGCATAGCAGGTAAAGCCATTGCCTTTGAGCCTGGCTTCCTATATGGATGCTGGTTTGTGTCCTGGCTGCTCCACTTCTGATCCACCTCCCTGCTAACGCATCGGGGAAGGCAGTGGAGGATAACCCAAGTCCTTGGGTCCCTGCCACCCATGTGTGAGACCTGGATGAAGCTCCAGGC